AGGTTTTTAGTGTTATAAGCCTTTAGACTTCCCGAAGAGCCACTAGAGGAAAGGGGCTTTTGAAATAAAATTATGTGTTATTGTTCATTGCATCTGCATTGCTTATGAGTTGTATTGAAGCGTTACAAATCCAATAACTGAATTTGGTCATCATGTCTACACTAGAATAATCATTGACACAATTTTTATTCCTAGGCCCCATGGAGTGTGAAGAGCCACATCCAGGTGCAGCAACTCAAAGTCTGGTGTCAAGAAATAAGGGAACAGGCCTCACGTTGAATAGTTACCTTTCTGTGATAAGAATATCAGGTAATTTTTATAGCTAAATCACTTTCAGCTTTTGAGTTCATTATCGGTCTCATTGGTTATCAAAAATTATCCAACGTGATCGAAGACTTGCGCTCGAACTATAAATTATATAAATGATGTTTTCAGAAAATAATATAATTAAGATTTGAACTGTTCGATGAACATGTATTTTTTTTTCCTGCTGGATGGGTTCTACATAAAAAAAACACCATACTGTTTTAATTAGACTTATCTAATTATGTGCTTAGTGTGGCATTCCCAACCTAAAATGGTTTTCTAAATAATATTAGCTAGGTCCTATTTATAACGGGAGAATCAGCAGGATAAATTATGAAGTAAGTCTGAATTTAATTAAACTGGGTTTAAGCATATAAATGAACAAACTAGACACGATCTGACGTACAAAATGAAAACAATATTTATTCTCAAGAAAAAAACTACAGCGTGCATACTTGTTTTCCAGACTTGGACAGTCACCTCTCACTGGCCTGGTAAATTCTCAAGATGTTTTACCATCAACCAATTCTTTTGAGATTCCGTGTAGTAGTGTTTAAATCTAATGTTTCGTACTTAACAGGAAACGTCGGATTTACCCATAACGACTAACTCTGGACTTGGACAGTCACTTCTCACTGGCCTCATAAATTCTCAAGATGTTTTCCCATCAATCAATTCTTTTGAGATTCCGTGTAGTAGTGTTTAAATCTAATGTTTCGTACTTAACAGGAAACGTCAGATTTACCCATAACGACTAACTCTGGACTTGGACAGTCACTTCTCACTGGCCTCATAAATTCTCAAGATGTTTTCCCATCAACCAATTCTTTTGAGATTCCGTGTAGTAGTGTTTAAATCTAATGTTTCGTACTTAACAGGAAACGTCAGATTTGCCCATAACGACTAACGCTCCCATGTTACTGGTCGTTGTCATTCAAAGTAAAGGAGGCTGTAAGTTCTAGACAGGCCCGGCATGGCCAGGTGGTTAGGG